GTGATAATTAAATTTGGTACAGTATTCGGTATATCCCAAATAGCGGTACCAAACTTCCAGCCCTACCAAGAGTGCACTTATAAATGGTGAACGCTTCATGCTCTACTCTTACTTCCTCAAAGTTCTTGTTTTCCAAGGTTTGTGCCGAACCTTGAGGAGATGATGTAAGGGGATCTTGAAGGGGTTCATTCACTTCAAGGCTGGGTTCTTCTATGCACAAAGTATCATCGCTTAGAGTAGGTGGGATTACTAGTCCTTGCTCTTCTTCAATTGTTGGAGAGGATGATGTAGAGGATCCTTCTTCTTAAAGATAGAAGTGGAAGTCTATGTCAATTTCCTCCTCCCAATTCAAGTTGAACTCAAGATGAGTGTGGCTTGAAATCTCATCTATCAAGCTAGATGGTTTTTCTTCTTTGGTTAACTCCTCCACGATATCTCGGATGGTGAGGCCATATATTGGGTTCCATGTTGGTTTGATCAACAACATTTTTGATAGGTGGCTCCTCTTGAAACTCCTCCTTTGAATGGATAGGTTTAGATGGTTGCTCCTCTAGTTTCCCTTCACCCTCATGCTACATTTGAGGTTGATCGTCCCTGTTTGAGTTCTCCTCTACTATCTCTTGTTCAATGCTTGGTTCCAAGGGTTTTTTTGAACTTCAAATAAGAGATGAAGGGGGTCACATACTTGAACTCTTCCTCCTTGATGTTTCCAATGGTGGATGCCTTGGTGGGTAGATTACTCTTGGATTCAGTTTGAAGAATATGTAAGAAATGTTTAAAGCCTTCAAGAGGTGTAAAACCTTCAAAATATTCCCACGAATCCAAGAAAGTTTGGTTTAGTGTAAGTTCTTCAATAATACACCCTTCTTCCTCCATTGCTACTCCTAGAGGTTGTATCTCGTCCTCTCCTTCTTCGGAAGTTATAAGATCATCTTCTTCCTCATTAAATTCGTTGGCCTTGAGATGATCTTCTTATTGAGGCTACTTAATAGGTTTATCATCCTTCTCTTCCTGGATAGGTTGAAGATTCTTAATCATGGTCTCCATGGTTGGTGTGATGCTTTCATCGTGTTGTGAGCAACTTTCTTCATTTGTTGCATCATCTTCTTAAGGGGGTCTCTTGCCTTCTTCTTCCAAAGATTAAGTTATAAACTCATCATCTTCTCTTTCAAATTTGTTGGCCTCAGGATGATCCTCCTCTCCATGGTCCACAATCTCTCCATCTCCTTCCTCATCTAATGGGTTGACTTTGATATGATATTCCTCTTCTCCATGGTCCACAAATTCTTCATGCTCCATAAGCCCTATGCTCGTGATATCTTCAAAACCTTCATGCATCTCATTGAAACTTCCTTTATTGGCTTCATGATGCTCCTTGATGATTTGAACATCTTCTAACAGCTGCTTTGGACCTCCATTCTTGTTGCGAACATTGATGCTTCTTGGAGGTCCTGACTGGATCTGGTCTCTTGTATTGAGATCGATAATCGACGGCTTGCATCATATCCTCTAAAGTTGGGTGATCTCCACTCATCTCTCTTAGTTGCTTCACCTCGTTTGGATCCATTCTCATAGTGTACTCATTGAGATGAACCATTTTTTGATAGTAGGGTAGTAGAGGATTGATGTTGTTTGCCTCGGCATTCGATGCCTTCGGCCAAAGATTCTTGAGTAGAGATAGGATGCCCATCTTTCTCTGAGTGATGGTTCAACTATTCTCGTCCTTGGATGCCTTGCAATGCTTCCCTCGAGTTCTATTCCTACAAAAAAATCAAGGAGTTAATAGTTTTCAATTACTATAAAAAATATCCCCGACAACACCACCAAAAACTTGATGAAATATCGAGTTATAAAATCCTAGGATGTTCTAGGGTCATACTCCACGAGGTCTTTTGATATTAATTACTCAAACCTAACTAATTGTATTCTAATAATGAATGCAAGAGAGTAAAACAAACTTGGTTGAGGTGCCTTAATTCGTGTTCTAAACTATTATGCAAGGAAGAAACAAACAATGTAAGAATGACACGAAATGCAAGACAAGAAAACAACTAAAAGGATTGTTTAGGTAGTGTTCTCTAGATGATAATGCATACTAACTCAATAATAAAATGTTTCTATGAATCATTTATTATGATGCTCTATTCCTTCCACTAAGGTCATTCCCTATATGTGCATTCGCCTCTTGCGATAGGAATTTGATTAGCTAATGCGTGCTTTCACTTCATGTCATCACCTAATCAATGAAGAAAAAGGAAGTTAGGATAGCACTTGATTAAGTGTTGGCCTCTTAAGACATAATCGATGGTCTATAGCATCAATGATCTATGAATCAAGCATTGATACTACTCGAGGTATAGATTGTTTAGTCATTCCATTTATACTCGCATAGCATCAATGGGGTATCACAAGATGGTAATTTCTTAACCTAGATGATACTAAGCACTATTATATAGTGGCATAAAATAGGGGCCACATGCATACAACAACTAAAGCAATCAATAGCTAAAGCATCGAATGAATGAGCAGTAGATGATACAAGCATAAATTAACTCAAGCATCAATGGTAAAGATGTTGAACACAATATGTTCTCATTGAATCATAGAAAGTAATACGTTAAACATCATAGATGATCCCCAAAAAAATTTGAGCTAGCTATGTATAGGAGAATAGAAATATATCACCAATGATATAGGCATCGATGGTGATAACTCCTCATCGAGTTCCAATTGGGCTTCGCCTCCTCTCTATGGATTTCTAACTCGTGCCCCTTGGGAAGAGTGCTGGTAAAAGGTGTGTACAAAGCTCTAGTCTAACCTCTTATTTATACTAGTTACAAAAAGTTGTTTTTATTCTTTTCCTCCTAAAGTCGGCCAAAACCTTTATTGTACGAATTGAACTTGGTTTATTCTACTTGGGGACGAAGTAAGGACATTCTGAAAGCTTATGGAGAGCTAGGGCATGAGTGGTAGGTCCACGGCACTTGGCGGCGATGCCCTTTTTCCACTTGGTTTGGTTGCTTGGCCCATAAGCAACCTTTCCTCCATATTTGGGCGTGTTTCAACTTATAGAACTCCGATTGAACCTCAGACAAAGTTGGGCATGTTGCACTACCATATCTGCTTGTTTGGGCAATAAAGTGCGCATGAAATGTCCAAATCCATATCTGTTTGAGCCCATATGCTTGTTATTCCTTCTGATTCATTTGGTCACTTGGTAATCCAAATTCGTCTTGAGTGCATTATATTCTTGAAAATCACAAAACAACACCAAAAAGTAATGAATCATACAAAAACATACTCAGGGTCTACCATAAGCACATTATTCAAATAGTTATGAATTTCATATGAAATATAATATAAATCACTAAAGATTCATTGATAGAAGGAAAAGATGTATCAAATATTGGAGTGATAATTCTATGATCATAAGGTGACCAGGCTCGATATCCTTTAACTGTGTCTTCAACACCCATAAATACACCCTTCTTAGCTCTTGGATTCAATTTACCCTCATCCACATGATAGTAAACAGGACAACCAAAAACTTTCAACAAGAAGTAATCATCAGGCTCACCAAACTATGATACCTGTGTGAGGTCCATGGTTGATAAGATAGCACGCCATGTTTAATTTCTCTAGCCAGAATCTTCTCTCCAGTCCAGCATTAGAGAGCATGCACTTTGCTCTCTTCAACAATATCCAATTCATTCTTTCTGCAACGCCATTCTGCTATGAAGTGTCTCTAACAGCCCAATAACGGACGATCCCTTCATCTTTGCAGAGTTCGTTGAACTAAGAACTAAAGAACTCCAAACCATTGTCCGTTTGAAGCTTCTTGATCTTTTGCCAATTTGGTTCTTCACCCTGACCTTACACTGCTTGAACTTCTTGATGGCTTCACTTTTCTACTTCATCCTGAATATCCAAGTAAACCTTGAGTAATCATCAACAATTGATAGAAACTACAAGTTGCCTCCAATGGATTCAACTATCGAAGGATCCCAATAATCCGAGTGAAGGTAATATAGCACCCCCTTTGTTTAGTGAATACCCTTCTTGGAAAACTTAATGCGATGTAAGTTCCCAAAGATATAATGCTCGCAGAGTTCCAAACTATGCCCCTTATGCACGTACAAGAGATCTCACTTCGACATCCATTCACTTATATGACCAATGTCTTATGCCAGAGAGTGGTCGTATCGTCTTTGTGAACCTCCAAAGATGAAACTGTAGCAGTACCCCACACCATAGATCCTTGTAACGCATACAAGGTACCACGCTTCATGCCTTTTAGGATCTTCCTTAAACCCTTGCATACATACACAACTCCACCTTTTCCCTTGAAAATGAAACTGAACCCCTTAATTCTCAGTATAATTAAACCAATCAGATCTTAGCCATTCGTGGAACACTAACTTCGTTTAGAAGATAGAACGAACCGTCATGTGTCTGAACCCTGATGGACTCTATTCCAACCATCTTGCAGATAGCTCCATTGGCCATTAACCACGTTACCACCATATATTTGCTTGTAGCTTGCAAAATAGTTCATGTCCAGAGACATATGGTACGAGTCTTTAGTATCCAGAAGCCACACATCCCTATGATGTGCCTTCCCATTTACAACCAATGCGAGATCGTCCTTAGAGTTGGTGTCTACCTCTGTTGCGGCCGCAAAACCTTGCTTATTTTGTTTCCTTTTATCTTGGTAGAATTTTCTTTCCAATACCCAAGCTCCTTACATACATGATATTCATTACTTGACTATGGACCGGAACCTCTCGAATTCGAGCTCATGTTTGAATTCTTACCGGATTTTTTCAATCCTTTACCACATGTAACATCCAACCCCGATGCTTGACTCTCTGTATCGTATTTGGACACCTTATGTCTGACCTCTCTCGTATGACCATGACAATACAAGAATCTTTCCTGACATCCTCTAATGTCAGACTATCTTTCCTGACAATACAAGAATCCCCAAAATTCTCATATGACCACGACAAAGAAATTAACACGATAAAAGCAACATATTCATCATCTGCTTTGACATCTATGTTACGCGAATCTAACAAGATAACATTTAGCTTTTCTAGATGCTCCCTTAAAGGCGTTACTTATTGCATCCTCAAGCTGAATAGACGTTACTTGAGATGTAACTCGTTGGTTAAAGACGTCGTCATATACATACTTTCTAACTTCAACCACAAGCTTGCAACAGTCTTCTTAGAAGCGACTTCTATTATGATGTCATCAGACAATGATAGTATGATGGTTGAGTGGGCCTTCTCCTCCAAGGTGTTCCACTCCTCATCACCGAGCCCTATCTTCTTCATTTTCCTGGATAACGACCCTGACAACCCATGTAGTTAAGTATCGCATATATCTTCATTTGCCATATACCAAAGTTGTTCTTCCCTAAGAACTTTTTGATTTTCATATTCACTGAAGTTATTCTTGTATTTCAAAAAACCCAACTGAAAACCAACTAGGGGCTATGATACCATTTGTCACGCACACAAACCGGACAATCGACAATAACAAGAAAGACAACGATTAGCAAGAAAGTAAAGAGCACAGGGATTTACGTGGTTCACCAACACAACGTGTGTTGGTTAGTCCACGGGCACAGATAGATCCAATTTCACTATACTTAAGGAGATTAATCTCTCGATACAGATTACAGAGAAGTATGAGAAGTATTATAGTACTTCTCCAAACGACCATACCCTAATCCAATTTGGTAAAAATAAGGTTACATACCAGGTCCAACGCGGAATCCCAAACGTGTACAAGCCATACAGGGAGTTCCCCTGACCTCTAGTCGAGTGTAGATCATCTGATTCAAGTCACATTAACAACCCATCTACTGTAATTTAGATTATTTGTTGATAGCTTGATGTAAAATTGCAGATTAACCACCGACATGCCTACCATACATACAAGCCATATTAAATTTCTTTTGACAAGCGAATAAGTCGTCAAACTCAATGATTCCATCTTGATTTTGATGGTTTCACATTGATATTTGGTTGCTACGAGCTCCTTCTAGTGGTAAATATTCCTTGTTATAACATCACAAATTCATATAGTAATAACACTATTATAGGATAAATTTATCACTATATATGTATGTGGTTGTAATTCTAGACTATGCCATTACAAGCATTTCAATTCTTTTTAAAGGTTGATGATAAAAAAAAAATGAATTCAAGGCCAACAAGCCGAATCATTCATAATAGCGAATCGAGGCATCACCAAGGGGGAATGCAGCCTAGTTATTTTGCTAATTAGAAGATTCGTTAGTATATACTAACTAATATCCAAAATGTATGAACTAATATCCAAGTCTGCTGAGTATCTAGATAGCACAGACTAGCATTCAAAACATCACAAACTAGTATCCACATAGTAGATACCAACTAATATCCACAAACAACCAACTAGTATTCAATATGGATACTCTTATGTCTTATCTGGATACTCTTATGTGTTATCTGGATACTAATTATATGTTGTATGGATACTATTCTATTTTGTCTAGATATTAGTTTGTGAGTTTGAGATAATAGTTGATTCATGGTGGATATCAGTTTGTAAACTTTGAATAATAGTATGTGCTCTCTCGATACTATTTTACTTGGATACTAGTTCATGTATTTTGAATATCAATTAGTATCTGCTAACGAATCTTCAAGTTAGCAGATTAACTTTTCCCGGGGGAATGGGGCAGCATGCGTAGTAGACGGCAGTGGCGAACCCAAAATTCTTGACTTGATGTGTCTGTCAATAGAACTTAGATAATAATTTCAACCAAAAAACAATTAAATAAATATTTAATTCATACCGAACACAATGCCAATGATATTCCCAACAAGTCATGACAAATTTTAATATTTTGAAAAGTTTGTAAAACACAATGATGCATATTTTGCGGCTAAATTTTTTTCGAAGCATACAATCATTCTTAAATTGGTAGCACGTATGATTTCGAAAATCATTGGCGATTAACTTTTTTTTTTTTTTGCCATAGATATCCCCAAAGGGAAACAACAGATACGAAGTAATATACATTACCTTTGCAGGTCAAATCACAAATGAAAAATAAAAAGACCTTTGCAGGTCTGACAAAATAGGGCTTTCCTGCCACAATATGGGCTGCCCTATGATACCTGAACGGCATGGGCAATATCATGATTTCTTCCCCTTAAAAGGATCAAAATCATGAACTAACCATGCTGAAAATTGAAGCAGAGAAGCAAACCCTTGTAAATCTGGCATCAGTTCAGCACAAAAGCACGTAAAGCCTCCACCGAAAATACCACTAATCCTGCAAAACCAAAACACACACATCCACCACTGTGTGACTAAACCTCTACCCTTTGCAGAGATAAAACCCTGGACAAAACTCCCGCTCTGTATAAGCAACTTCGAATTAGTAATAATAAATTAATCAAAAGAATGATCAAAACAACAGATAAGTTCAAGCCTAATTAAGGAGATAGAGTTGAAGTGCCAGCAATCTTAAAAGAAAAGGTGTCCAAATCAAGCTACTGTCTACCATGCAAAGAAATAAACAAACGCCAGGAACCAGGAGGGCCACGTGGGAAACTGCTCAATCACTGCAGCAGAACTCAAAGGAGCAGCTGTCGGGCTCGAGATCGCTTGGGAGAAGGGCTTCCGTCAAGTTGAACTCAAGCTGGACTCTTCTACTGCTATATCCATTATGAGAAAACGTTCAGATGATGATCACAGGCATGGACTGCTGGCACAACACTTCAGCAACCTCCTGAACCGTGACTGGATTGTGTCTATTTCTCATGTGTATAGAGAAGGAAATCAGGCTGCTGATTTTCTTGCTAATTTTGATCACAAACTTACTTTTGGAACACATCATGTTGATGTGGACAGCCATGAGCTCTGTAAATGGCTTGATTACGATGTAATGGGTGTTTCACAACCCAGGTTAATTAATATATGAGTCCTAGACGCTTTTGCGTCTGCCTTTCTACCCAAAAAAAAAAGAAGCATAATAGATAGGTAACAACGCTGTTGAATCAGCCATTCCAAAAAATGAATTTCCTTTGCCTGAGATAGCGTCCTTTTGACACGTAAACCAAGGTATGATTACTCCTAATAAAATAGAATAGATAAATATTCACGTAAAACAAAAGGCAAAATAAACTTGTATATCCATAACTTTCACGTTTGTGACAAATATATCCATAACTATCGAAATAAACGAAATACCCAATTTCGTCCATTTTGTTAACGACGTTAGTTGATGGTATAACTAGACTAACGGTAGAAGCTGAGTTGGCGATTGATTTACCCCACCAAATGACGTGGATTGTAAAGAAAAAATAACAAAAATTAAAATACAAAAACAAAAAGAGAAAGAGACGGGAATAAACCCTTTTCTTCCCTTCCCCGCCGCTACTCCTCCCGGAAGAGCGACCTTCCATCTTCTCCCTTCTTCTTTGAATCTCCCCATCAATCTCTCTTCCAACCTCTGATCTACCCTTCTTCTTCTCTGCATCTCAGTCCCAACCTTCGATCTCCCCCCTTCTTCTTCGAATCCCCCCGTCAATCTCTCTCCCAACCTTCAACTCGGATTCATAACTGTCAGTCAAGCACCCCGAAAACCGGCTTCTGGTTCACGTACTCGAACACCGACCCAATCTACATCACTAGCAGCACCACAATCGTGAGATTTCTGCAAGAAATTACAGGTCTTGGCGGAGGATTGAATTTCAATTTGGGTATTCTTTTCTGAAGATTACGGCGGCGATTGCAGTGATTGCGGAGGCGAGGAGATAAGCGAAGAAGGGGATCTTAAATTCTTCCTCGCCGGTCGTCGCTTTGGTGGCTTCTCCCGTAGCTCACGGCGGCGGTTCGTCCGAATTGGGGTCTGCCCAAGACGGTATCGATGACGATGATGGTTCATCCGGTTTCTTGCCCGAACTCGACCCGACCACAAACCTTATCCTCCTCATCTTCTGTCTACGAGAGTTTAAAAAGCTATAATCGCCGGCGTGTTTCTCCGACTTGCCGATTCCCGCAATGAGATTCGCCGATTTTCTCAGGCGCGCGGTTGGGAGGAAGTAGCAGCAGGAGGAGAAGACGCACGTGGATGCAGCCATTGCCGCTGATACTCGAAATTGATGTGGTGAAGAGCTTCCGCTGGCGGTTGTGGATCCAAATCTCTTTTGCCTAATAAGCTTCTTCTCAGTGGTAGCAGTTGGCAGGGGAAGAGCCAACTTCTTCTCAAAATCCCCAAAACTCGATTTCCCCCTTTCCTCCTTTTGTTTGATGTTGGAGCCAAGGGAGAGAGAAGAAATCAATGTGGCGGAAATATTTTTTTTTATTTTTATTTTTTATTTTTTGCTGACATGGCGTCCACATGTCAAATTTTGCTGACCTGGAGCTTAGGTGTGGCATGGGTATGGTCCTAGTCAGCGTTCCGTCACATTTACTGACGCCGTAACAAACGGTGTTAAAGTTTGTAACGCAAATGGATAGATTTGTCACACGATAGTACGCTTTTCTGGATATTTCGTGTATTTCGATAGTTATGGATATATTTGTCACAAACGTGAAAGTTATGGATATAGAAGTGTACTTTGCCAAAAACAAAACTTAAAAAAATGAACTATAGAGTACTTATCTGGGCACCGCGCCACCGCTGTGTTTTATGGGTTAACCCACCAGCCGTCAACATCCTCCAATAATATCAGCACCTGTCTGGCACGGGGCAGGTTGTTGGGCGCCGGGTTCGTCTGAGGCAAGTCCGGCCGCCGTAGCATCGCTGCATCAAGAGACGGGCAGCAAACCAACACCCGGCGAAAAGCTCCTCCTGTCTGAATCTGAACAACTCCACACCCTGCTGAAGCTACAAAACAAACAAACGTCACGTGCCCCACAATAGCACTGAAAAGTAGGCACATAACCGGCCGCGGTCGGAGATCCGATTTAACGATGAAGTTTGAACTCCGGATCTAGTACGGGTTAACTGGTGAGAACTGAGAAGGAAATCAGGGGGAGAATCCCAATCTCTTCCCTTCTCGCAAGCGGCCAAAAACCAGGGGGGAAACTCAACGACGATGGCAAGCACCGTTTACCCACTACCGCCGAAGTCGAACTGGAATTAGCTTCCTTTCTTCCACCGTTTACAAACCAAATCATCCCTTTGCGCCTTTGCTGAGATCCGATTCTCGATCCGTTTTCTGTTCTCTAGCCATATTGTCTTTTGTTTGATTCCAGAGACAAGAGTAATTGTACTCAGGGGCGGACCCAGGGGGTTTTAGGGGTGTCCCCGGACATCCCTAAATTCGGGAAATTGATTATCCAACCCCCGGTGGTAATTTACGTATAGACAAAAAAAAATATAATTGATAGTGAGGGACACCCCTGAAATTTGAAAAAATGATTATCCTATGTCATTTGTGTATAAAAATATAAATGGTAGGTTGGGTAATTCAAATCTAGAACACTATTATTATTAATAAACTTAATTTCCGTTGAGCTACAACTCATTTGTTGTTCGATTTTGAACAATGTGTAATAGTAAAAAGTCATTCCCTATCTTTAATTATTTCAATCTAAACTAATTTCAATCTACCCTTAATTTGTATTGATTTTATGATTGTACGGCAAGTGTTGAAGAGTCTTTCAGCTTTGGGTTACATCAAGAACAAGTTTACAACTCGAATATGCGATAAGTTCCTGAATGATTGTCTAGTAGGGTATATGGAGATTTTTTTTTAACACTATAAACACCAATTGTATTCTACAATTATTTTCGAATATGAAAACACATCATGGATTTTTTTAACCTGAACGAGTAAGGTATTTTCATATTTATGATTTTATTTTGTTAATTATTTTATTTTATTTATTTTATTTTTTAAAAGAGGACACCCCTATAAAAAATTTCTGGGTCCGCTACTGATTGTACTTCAGAGATGCGAAGAGTACGGCGTCGGCTTCCCTGATTTTGTGACGGAAAGCATCAACCGCCTCGGGGAAACTGCCACCGGGTCCTTCCAGATCGGTGTTCAGCATCGGCAGAGGGGATATCTCCACGTACTCGATCTCCATCCCGCTCACCACCTGCTTGCTCAAATCCAGCAATATTTTTCGAGTTAAGGAGTAAATGCAGCTTGTCTATGGCTCTTTTGGGGAATGACTTTTGGCGATTAACTTCATCATTGATTTTTTTTTCCCCCACAATTTACAGTTATAGCAAGTTAAGGCTACTTCAGAAATAAGTAATAAATGATAATAGTTTAAGACTTTGCTACTTGGCAAGCAAACAATAAAAAATGGCGATCTCATTATTAAAGCGGTCGACCTTGTACGTTAAATGGTCGATCACGTTCTTAAAAGGGTCGACATTACCTTATCAACATTGAAGTCAAAATTATCTCCGCAAATAGTAAAAAGGGTTGATCGGTCAAGTACGTGGTCGCCCTCTTAAACACCGTATCAGTATTGGATAAGGACTCCAAGACTAGAAACGTATTAATCAATGTTGTCAGAACCGAACCGCCATATGAACCGGTATTATAAGCGGCTCGCAATTTATTGGTTTAACCGCTATCAAGCCGTTATAAACCCGTTATCGAACCGGTGTCTAAGAAATAGAATTATTATAAATAGAAACCATTATTGTTATTATAATTATATATTTATTCTAATATATTCAAACAAAAAATTATATATAACAAGTAAAGAATATTATTTTACAAAAATATAAATTATTTAAGTATAATACGAGTGATTTTTAATAGTTATGAACATTATTTAATATTTAGTTTCAAAACTAAACACTGCGAAAGTGTTTAATAATGAGACTTGTAGCTCCTATTACACAAATTGGTTGTAGCACAACTGGACAAATGTTTAACTTTGCTCTTTGCACCAAGAGTTGCAGGGTTCGTATCCCAGCCCTCTCCATCTGGCTGGATACTTTTGTCACCAAGATTCTGACCGGTAAAACCGATGAAACAGTTCAAACGGTTCGGAGGTTGAACCGGTCGGTTCGCTTGTAAATGGGGTGTTCCAGCTGTGGCGGCTAAATAGCCTGACCGGACCGAATTGGTGGGAGGGTGATGGTTTCACCGGTCGGACCGACCGGTCCGGTCTGACTTTAATAACACTGGTATTAATAGTAAACCCTAACTTGTCTACCACTTAATTCACACTAATCTCGTGCTAAATATCTATAAATAAGAATAAATGTCACCCTCACCGCCCCTCAAACACTGGATGTTTCTTCTAGGTTTAGAGTTTTGGTGAAGAAGAAGACTGTTGCTTGTTCTTCCTCTTCGTGTTCCAGACGATCGACCATATACAAGGTTAGGTCGAGCGATTTTAGGTAACGTTGTTGTTTGCTATTTTGTAATTTGCTCCGTTTAATTTGATGTTTGATTTGCTTTCATCTTTTAGGGTTAAAGTTTTGGTGAAGAAGAAGACTGTTGGTGTTTGTCCCTATACGTGTTCCAGATGGTCGACCACTTACAAGGTAAGGTCGACCGATTTTAGGTAAAGTTGTTGTCTTTGGAATTTTGTTGCTCCGTTTTGATAATGACTAACTTAAAATGATCTCCTATATGTTAAGGGTCGACCGTATTTTCTATCAGAGTGACCACGATGGTGTAACCAGTCGACCGAAAAAGTACATTGGTCGACCGAATTGTGCAAATCACGGTGCCTTGCATGTTAACATAGATGTACCCTAATAATTATACGTTTCTATCTTCATCATTCTCTTAACTAGCTCATTAGTTCCTTTTCTAGAGGGCTTGGTGCTTTGTCCCCCTCCACACAAAGAAATAAAAGGAAGAAATGAGGTTTGTATATTTTTCCAATTAAAAGGGGCAATAATTCCTTTTCCTTTTCATTTACTTCCACAACTTCTTTTTCATTTGAGGGATGGCAATCAAAAGGTAGGGGTTTGGGAAATAGACCCACAATGGTTTATTAGGGAGCGAATTGAGTTTGTCTAAATAAGATAAAATAATAATTAATTTGTTAAATTTGATTAAAATTTGGAATAAATAATGTGTATTTACACGTTTTTGTAATTTTATAATAATAAGCTCCTTGTAGCTCAATGAAAATGTATAAGTTGCCATTATTGAAGTTGTATGGGATCCAAATAGGGCGGCAGGGGTGAGGAATTTTGCTAATGATCTAGCTTTGCAGGATGTCGGTTTTATGGGTCCGCAATTTACATGGTCTAATCGACGCATGGGGGCGGCTTGCATCATGGAACGCCTGGACAGGGTTCTAGCTTCTCCTTTATGGATGGAAAAGTTTCCGCAGACAGTGGTCAAACACTGCACGGACCTTGGGTCTGATCACAGAGCTCTGCTAGTGGCAGATAAGCCATTTGTTAGGAGCTCTAAGCCGTTGTTTCGATTTGATGCTAGATGGACTGATAATCCGGAGACAAGGCTTCTTGTGAGTTATGTCTGGAATAAGCAATACACTGGTTCGCCTATGTTTAGGCTGTGGCAACGATTAAAGTCCCTTCGGCATCTCCTGTATGATTGGAGTTCAACATCCGGATAATCCAAACGGAGATTGAGGCGATCAAAGCTGAGAGGAATGTGGATTGGGATAGAGTAATGGAGCTTGAACGTGAGTTAACGCGACAGTGGGCGAATGAGGAGATATTCTGGCGTCAAAAATCGAGGGTGCAATGGCTGGGTGAAGGGGATCAAAACTCAGGGTATTTTCACACGGTGACAAGAGCTCGTCGGCGGAGAAACTACATAGAGGGGTTAACCAATAATGATGGAATCTGGGTGACTGATGAGGGCCAGAAGGGGGCAGTAGCGAGTGGTTACTATGATCACCTCTTCAGATCAGAGAACCAGGTATAGGATATGGGGGCTAGGGTGGCTGAGCTACCAATTCCGAGTTCTGTCACTGCAGAGA